ATTATTAGTTTTTGAGACTTTATCCTGCATTACATCATATTTCACTTTTAGACAATGTAAAAATAATTCAGAAAGCAATAACTAATTTCCTTCATGTCATGGTCTACCAAGACATTGAAAATTTACATTTTTACTTCGAGTATTACGCGGAAGAAGACATATAATTACAGAAGATAAATTTTATCGTACGCATGACCTCATTGTCTGGAAATTTCTCCGAAAACTTTCTGTACCAGCTTATTTCGGGATGGGCTTCCGGTTCTTGTGATCAGATTACCCACCGCTGCCACTGTGTACTTTCACATGCGTGCATTGCACAAGTAAGATAATTTGCTTTGGCATGGGGGCGTAAAACTGTCACGTTCCAGTTGGAATACTCACTTTCATGTTTAAATCTTTGTTTAGTCTTAGTATTACTCACTGATAATTAAACAAATTACATTAAGAGTTATAATACCATTTAATATCGTTTTACACCTGAAGTTTATGAATTCCTTTAACTGTAGGAATGCAATTTGTATGTCCTTCGTGGTAACTGTCACAATAAGTTCTGAACGAAGAAAAAGATTTACGGAAATGATTATGAATGACATTTTCACTGAATTGAATACAAAATCAAAATGGAAAATTACCAGGATCTGCGCATATTTAGTATTGAGACGGGTCATAATACAACAGCAATAGTTCTTGTGATCAAAACTATCTCGAAAATTCGATAAGAAGACAAAATGATTGTGAACTATCGTCCTGATTTCTTCAAAGTGATTAAATTCTCGCTGCAAATGTTATCACTGTTTATTAATACCTACGTGTGTGAAAGTGATTTTTCTGATCTCAAACAAATTAAATCAAAAACGAGAAATCGCAGAAGAAAGTGCTTCATTGGAATCGAGCCTGAAACATTACCTTACTGAATTTATAGCGGACAATGATAAAATCGCATCAGAACAGCAGTGCCAGCCATCACATTGATTTCTTGATTGTAAAATAAACTGACGCATTAAACTAATTAGTTATATGTAATTCGTTTTCTTTCTTTATCGCCTGTGTCCCGCACTTTCCTTTTCTGTCGTTTGATAGGCCATCGTATAACTAAATCTTGGACCACACTGTTTTAGGTAATAGAAGTGAAGAGATCGGCAAGGGATTATCATACGCCACACTCACGCAGTTTTGAGAAAGAGCTCGTTTAGTGTTTGGCAAACACATGCACATCAATGGAAGGCCGGGATAGTCAGATGTTATCCTGCCATATGGCTGGACAATGAAAAAAATACAACTGAAGGGAAGAGTACTACTAAGAGAGAATCGTGTGATTAAAAATTGCGACTTATGACTATTTCTCACTGAGACAATATTTATATAAATATCTTTAATATTATTCAGTTATATATGTCTTATATATGCCTATATATATTCTTCAGATAACTATGTCTTCTATGTAATTAAGTTTTATTATTTTTGTTTTTATTATTAATATTATTATTATTAATTATGTAAAGTGTAGTGGCGTTGTGAAACTAAGGGAAACGCGTGTTTAAGAAAGACATTACAGCTCAGTGATTCATAGTGTGGTGAAGTGAAGTGTTGTAAAGTGGAGTGCTATAAAAGATTCCACGGTGAATGTTCACATTAGTTTATAAATTTTGTAAAGTTGTTAAGTTCTGTAATGTTAAGTTAGTGTATTCTGCCACCAAGTTCTCAAACTTAATTGCAGAATGAGTAATAAATCAAATCTATTCTAAAAACGAACAAGCGTTCATGTTCTTGACAAGTCAGAGGAAGGTTCAAATCCTACACAAAACGAAAGAATGTATCAGTCGTCTGAAGGAGTTTATATTATAATTGTGTTTGTTGTGAAATATTATCATTGTAGATACTTGTCTTCAAACACATCGAGACATAAGCTGGTCATTAAATAACTTTAAATGTGAAACAAAATCTTCCTTGGACATATTCGTGAACTCGGCGATAACTGGAAGAATTTCAAAGTATATCATTTGTGGTTTTGTGTTATATGGAGGTATTGAACCCGTTGTATTAAATTTGAAACGTAGCATATAAATGCAAGGAAAACTGAAATCAAATTGTATTGAGTCAAGAAAGATTTTTTAATCCTAATCGTTAAAAATGTTTAAGAAACTCTAGATATTTTTAGAGGATATGATATTTTTCTTTGAGTACGTTATTTTGTTTAATAATTATCATGATGATTAAGTTAAACTTTCCATTTCATGTTAATAAATATGTGTTTGAAGGAAAATATTCTATTACACTTGAGAAAGTAAGGCCAGCACAAACTTTGTCGTAGTACTTCATGGAATCATGAAGCTTGAATAAACTCTACCTTTTCTCTGTATGTAAAATTTTTTAGATTTCATATTTAAAAATGTAACGAGTTCAAAAATACATTAATCGTAGTTCACTGTTAGTGATTTTCGGTTCAACAGTAGATTTTTTTCTTTGTTTGATAATTGTATTGAATTACGTGTTTCTTTTATTATATGTTAATGAAACACGATTTTTCGAAAGTTATGTGAAACGTTATTTAAAAAAATCTCAATTATAATTTTTTATTATTCATTATCCTACCTTAACTTATTGTATTAGCTGTGATAACATGGCAGATCATACGGCGAAGATTCTGCATTTTTCACGGCGAATGGAGACTTTTCGTTTGATATTATCTCAATGAATTCGCCTGCAAATATACATCCCCGACTAATTGCAGGGAACCGCTTTCTGTTGAAGGATAATCATCCGTTCTTTCACGCCCGGGTGAAGAGTTATTTTGTGTGATTTCCTGCCTTTAACAACACGTTCACTGAAGTGGAACTTGTTTCTTCTTATTCTTGTTTTTTTGGATGAGTGCGTTAATGGTGTGAATAATTTAAGAATTAGGTGATACAAATCTTCCGAAATTAGTAATTTTGTCAAATTATTCCAGCACTAACGACCCGAATTCCTTAGAATATGCATGGAGGATGCTCATTTGAAGTCACTGTCATGTTAAAGGAATTTTTTTAAATATTGAGGGAAATTAATTTCATAAGAGAGATTTAATTAACTTTTACGAAAAGTTATACCTATCAGATGGAAGCTACAAACTTGGAGATAAGAAGGTTTTTCAATCAATTAATAATGGATCGATTGCCTTAATTAAGTTAGGTATACGCTTTTTGCTTCGCGTAGACGACCGCCCAACGAAGCGTTTCTTGCCCACTTGGAGCGCAGCAAATGCGCGGCCTCTTGTGCTGATGCTGCATCCTGATTACGTTTTCGCACCCACCCGCCTCCTATTCTCTCTGCGCGTCGCCCCCTCCCATCCGCCTCCTCGCCCGTCGGCACACCCAGCGCCTCACCTACGCCCACGGCACGGCGAGCACTCCCGC